GGCCCCAGACAATTGCCATCGGGGACTTCAACGCGAAGTCCCCCATATGGCACAGCGGGACGACGACCACAAGAGGTCGCGTCCTGCTGAATTACCAAGACAGACACGACGACTTGACTATACTCGGACCGACAGAACCGACACATTACGGACCCGTAGGACGCCCCGACGTTATCGACATTGCCCTCTTAAAATCTATACCGTTAAATGCCCAAATATCCACCCAATACGAAGGGTCTTCCGCCCACAATCCAATATTTCTGGATCTGGGGCGAAGACAGAGATATGAAGGCACCTTCACGAGGAGGTTCACTGACTGGGAGCGTTTCCGAACAGTAATGCAAGGAAACATGGCGCTCCCAGTCATCGAAACCACCCATGATCTGGAGGCGGCAATCCTCTCCCTTGAGACTGACATTAAAAACGCCCTGACTCAGACTACGACGGAGACTATTGTCCCCCGACTGACAAACCCCCGGGGCACCCTCCCCGATGACATAAAAAACTTAATACGTGACAGACGACGTGCGAAACGGCTTGCCACCCGCACCCGCCTCCCCCGACACAGACATGACTTAAACGTACTTAACAGACGGGTGAAGGCGGCTCTGGATGAACTGGCCCAGGATAACTGGGCTAGGCACCTGGAGTCGCTGGATCCACAAGACAACAGCCTCTGGAAAACGCAGAGGGCCCTGCGACAGACCGCTCGCCGTAAAATTCCTCCAATCCACGGTAGTGTGGGGGTGGTTTACACGAACCAGGAAAAGGCCGAGGCTTTCGCCGATAGCCTGGAACTGCAGTGTAGACTGCCTCAGCTGCCCGACGAAGACGAGGAATTCGAGATAGTGGCTGAGCGCGCGGCCCGACGCGTCGACAGAGAGCCAGACAATGACATAATCCCCCCCGCAACACCTGACGAACTAAGACTGACAATACGCAGACTTAAAAACAGAAAAGCCCCCGGACCCGACAATATACATAACACGACACTTAAACGACTACCACACAAGGGCCTCATGGCCCTACTAAACATAACAAACGCGACACTCAGACTAAGACACTTCCCTACCCGCTGGAAAACAGCAAACATAATCCTTATCCCAAAACCCAACAAAGATCACACCATCCCATCCAACTACCGGCCCATTAGCCTGCTCCCGGCTATGAGCAAAGTGGTAGAAAAAATTATCCTAACCCGTCTAAGAACCCACTCCCAAGAACTGCAAGTCATTCCAGACGAGCAGTTCGCCTTCCGACCCAATCACTCCACTGAACTCCAAATCCTTCGCCTTACCGAGCACATCACGGCGGCCTTCAACAGGGGACAGTACACTGGTGCTGTCTTCCTGGACGTCGCAAAGGCCTTCGATACGGTTTGGCATGAAGGCCTACTGATGAAAATGCTCACCAACCAATATCCCATATCCTTTACCAAACTCATAAAATCCTACCTACACCACCGAAAATTCCGCATCCAAATCCAAGATTCCCTTTCCACCACCCGTCCCATGGAGGCCGGTGTCCCCCAGGGCACCGTCCTGTCCCCACACCTATACACCATTTACAACTCCGACATCCCACATCCCCCCAACACCAACATATACTTATACGCCGACGACCTGACAATCACATCCCAATCCGTAGATCCTAGATATTCCGTCTCCCTCCTCCAAAACTCCTTAGACCAACTTGAAACCTGGTGCAACAGGTGGAAAGTCAAAATTAATCCCAACAAAAGTTCGGCTATCCTTTTTACCAAACGAAAAATCCCACAAAACCTCGACAGACTGACACTATCCCAGGAACCTATCTCCTGGAATCGACAAACACGATACCTGGGCGTGACGATGGACCAGCGTCTCACGTGGAAACCGCACATCGTGGAGACGGTGGCGCGAGCGAAGACCACCAGGGCTAGGCTCTATCCCTTACTCAAAGGTGGAAACACCCTCAGTTTAAGGAATAAGCGAACGCTTATCAAGGTGGTACTTCAACCGCAGCTAACCTACGCCTCCACGGCGTGGGGTCACGCGGCAAAAAGCCACTTAAAGTCATTACAGGCTGTGGAAAACATAGCCCTCCGCACGGCCACCGACGCGCCCTGGTACGTAAGAAACACTGACATATTACGAGACTTACAATACACAAACGCTACACAGACAATAAGACAAAACGCGGAGAAACGATTTGACGTAGCCGCTAGACATGACAATCCCCTCCTCAGGCAAGCCGTTGACTACGTACCCGACGTGACCGACAAACACAAAAGACCTAGACACCAACTTTTTGACCCTGGGTGACCACCCCAATGACCCCCCCCCCGCCCGCTAACCTTTTCTGTTTCAGAGACAGCCAGGATCAAGAAACGAAGACAACGACACACACACACACACACACACACCCCATACCCTCCTTAACCCTCCCCTCCCGCGCTAGCCTAAGGGCCACCTTAGCAAAGCGCATCCCAGGCTGCATAGCCGCACTACCCTACCCAACCATACCACACATAAACATGACACTACCCCCGGGGTTTACACAGACGAGCCGGCGAAGCAAGAAGAGCGCCAGAAGAAAGGGCCCTAGCCGGCGGGGCCCAGCCAGGACAAAAGGAGGTCCCACAAAGCGCCTACACCGGCCGCATTTGCGGTCGGGGTAGACGACGGATGGGGCCCACCTACGAAGGCTGTCCAGGCCTATACGAGATGAGGCAGGATAAAGAGGGATAACCCCCCTCGATCCCAAATCATTGAGGCCAATTTCTAGCCATAGAATAATGGCGCGCGACTACTACCGACGACCGAGACCGAGACTGAATCTAGCTACACATACACATGGGAATCGTAGTAATCGTACTAACTGTAGTAATCGTAGCCGTAGCCTAGCCTCGTTGCTCGCTGACTGGTAGTATGAAGTATTCATATACATATTCATTTGTATTCGTATACATATACTATCTATACTATGAGTTTTGTTTGGATCTTGACCGGAAGGAAAGCCTCATACTCGGTCCTTGCCAAGTAAACAGGAAATTGTGCGCATGCGTTAGAAGCAGATGCCGATGCGAGAATGTGACAATTTCGCTAGATACAATAAGCAAAATGTCACAATCTAAACAGTGGACAGTCCGTAGTAAGAACCACAGCCGTCTTGCTCTCCCTACTCGTTCATGATTTTGTGTACAGGGCATGCGCATTGGGTTATAATTCCTCGGGAGAGACTTAAAAGTATCTCCTCTCCGGACAATTCCGTACCCAGGGGCCTATAGCCGGCTACCAGTAAATAGATAATATGTATATGATTGTATTGGTATTGCATAAGGTAAGTAATCGTGTCACGATTACTCGACGGAACAGGTACTCGATTACTACGATTACTAGCAAGTAACGATTCTTTAGTAACGAATCATTACAATATTGACATCATTAATATGTGGTTAGTTTGCGTATTTGTCTTCTCAGTGTTTGGTTTTCACATTTTTGTTGTAGTTTGTCGTATAGGTCGGCGTGTCGGCGATTGTCGTGGTGTTTTGAGAGGCTGTGGATGTGGAAGGTGTTCTTGAGAATGACCTCACGTTGGTCGCTGGTTGCTTCGTTGTCCATGTGGATGTTTACGTAGTCGTGGTGAAAGTCTATCATGATTGATTTTGTGTGTGTGTGTTCGTCGTTTAGAGCCTCCCCTTTCGGGGGCGTTTGTTTTTTTCGTCTGTTATGTTATTTCTCGGAGTCATAATTGTAACAAAAGCCGAGACATGTAGTCATTTATTTATTAGTTCTCGGAACGGATGGGCCAAAAAGTAAAATATTTCAGTCAACACTAATTTATCGGAGGGTTATTGGTTTTCAAGTAGGCTTTCAAGTAGTAGATCGCCAAGACCTTCGGGGAAGGCTTCACGGAATTTAGCAATATTTTTAACAAGTTCGCTTAGACTACCATATGGTAGTCATCTGTTGCGCCTGGGAGACAACAGCGTAAAAACCCATATTTTTAATAAGGCGCGAAACCGCGAGAAGAGCGTAGAGGTTCCAAAGTAGAATTAAATTAAATTATGAAATAGATAGTAATTGGACAAGAAAGTAACATATTAAGCAGCTGTTTTTTGTATGGATTTTTCCAAGCTATAAGTGTAGATTAAATGAGATCGACTAATCCGTCCCATAATTGCTACACGGAGTCACTAGAGGAAGGCTAGGGTTACTTGTAAGTAAGTTTAGTTTCAGAATTCTTATATAAATGTAAAGTCAAGTCAATTAGGCAATTATTAACCTAGTACAGTTATCCCGATATTCAGGTCCCCGCCAAAAGATAAGAACCGAAACTTCTGGACCCAAGAAATGGGCGTGGTGAAGCGAAGTGTGGAATTCGAGAAAGATCAGCAAGAAAGGTAGTTCTTCCTTGAGTTTCACATTGAGCAGTCTAATTAACTGTAGTGTCTCGGGCTAATTAATTAAATTTAATAATGGATAAGGTTTTTCCAAATTTTGCTATGAAGCGCGCATTCCCTGAATCTCGGTACGCTGTCGCGTGTGTAAATAAATTAATTAATAATGTCATTCGAGCCGTTGTGTTGTTATTTTGTTTGTTTGTTTTGTTTATTGTTATTAAAACCCTTCCTGGAAGTTTTGATGTTTCCTTTTGTTTCCCCAACTTCAGTATCACCCTGTATAGCCAGCCACTGGATTATATTCCACATAAGCGATGAATGGTAAGTGCTTGGAACTAATTCTCTGAACATACAACATTTATAAGTGTTATGTATTGACTAATATAACAGACTCTGTTTTGTATTAAGACTTTTATTTGACTATTAATTTTAATGATAACATGAAATACAACTAAACGGTGTGACTGTGGCGTGACTGACTCGACTCAATGTTCACAAAAAACCGACCCATTGCTGCCAACCCATTTCACTGAACCACAGCCCACTGAGCTAACATAACATTTTCTCCCCGCTTTTAAAGATTCAATCTCAATGGAGGTTTTATAATTCTACCTACACGAGAAGTACGCGGTTTGTCTGGGCTGGAAGCTGAAATTGAGCTATCTGTAGTATCTGTACTATTATTGGTATCAACAGATACTTCTGGCTTATTTTCAACTTCCCTTACAATATATGGCACAGTACTCAGATTTGGTTCATTACTATGTCTAGGCAAAACATCAGACACTGGTAATGTAGCACTAATTTCTGCACTTGGTTCTAACATTATTCCTGAATTGGCCGCGTTATATTCTAACACTACACTTGTATCGGGCGAATTTAACATAGGACGTAAATTATCCAAGTGCACGAACTTGATATTATTATCTATTTGTACTAAATACGTACAAAAACTCAAAATTTTCACAATTTTCCCCTTCTGACAAACTTTGGTTTGTTTGTTCATAACAAAAACTTCATTCATTTACTTTATACAATTTCAATTTCCTTTCTACATTTTTAGAAGCAAATTTTGATTTGTTACTATGGCTAGGTTTCAGTAAATCGAATCTGGTTCTTGGCTTAATTTTTAAAATACTCTCTGCTGGAGTAATACCGGTGACAGTGGTTGGAGTATTTCGATATGTGAATATGAAATTATGCAAGTTCGACAAAATTTTACTTTCCGAAATTTTTTCTATTTTCTCCTTTCTGGGAAAATAAGCTTTTTCTAGTCCCTTTTTCAAAGTTTGTACACCCCGTTCTGCCAACCCGTTGCTTTGAGGATGATAAGGAGGGGATTTAATTGGATTAATACCGTTTGCCTGACAAAACGATACGAATTCAGACGAATTAAATGGGGGCCCATTATCAGTTACCAACTCAACTGGTAAACCAAAAATTGAAAAAACATCTTTTAATTTTGATATCGTTTCTAACGCATTGGTACCATTCTTCATTAGTTTTACTTCTATCCATTTTGATTTTTGATCGACTAATATAAGGAATGTAAATTTAAATTTAAAGAAAAAATCTACATGAACCCTATAAAAATTATGAGGTGCATTTGGCCATGGCAATAACGTGCTGGATTTTGTAAAATTCTGATTATATTGACATATATCACAAGATGATATAAATTTCTCTACGTCGGCATTCATAGTAGGCCACCAACAGTATGAACGAATGAGCATTTTAGTTCGAACTATACCATTGTGTTGTTCATGAAATAATTTTAAAACATCCATTTGCAAGGCTTTTGGAATGATCACTTTGTTACTACTGAGAATACAATTTTGTTCTACGGATAACTCATTACGTCTCTTGAAAAATGGTTTAATATTTTCATCTGCAATAAACTTCGGCCATCCGCGCCATTATTCCATGGCTAGAAATTGGCCTCAATGATTTGGGATCGAGGGGGATTATCCCTCTTTATCCTGCCTCATCTCGTGTAGGCCTGGACAGCCTTCGTAGGTGGGCCCCATCCGTCGTCTACCCCGACCGCAAATGCGGCCGGTGTAGGCGCTTTGTGGGACCTCCTTTTGTCCTGGCTGGGCCCCGCCGGCTAGGGCCCTTTCTTCTGGCGCTCTTCTTGCTTCGCCGGCTCGTCTGTGTAAACCCCGGGGGTAGTGTCATGTTTATGTGTGGTATGGTTGGGTAGGGTAGTGCGGCTATGCAGCCTGGGATGCGCTTTGCTAAGGTGGCCCTTAGGCTAGCGCGGGAGGG